AATGATGTAGGATTCGTCGTCTAAGTTGTTATCATCATTTTGAGTACAGCGAGATTGTGAGAACGGCACACGCGTGTTATATGAAGTACATAATATAGTGGTTGTAGGCGAAGGGTGGAACAAGTCTACCCGTGTGACCTGGTTGGGAGTATGTCAGACAAATGCCTCGATTTATCCGCACAGTGATGTAGGATTCGTCGTCTAAGTTGTTATCATCATTTTGAGTACCGTGAGATTGTGAAGTGTTACAGCTTTGAGGGTACATGCTTTGCGTTGGAGAATAGTCACGTTCCGGAAGTGGTCGAGACTGAGGTACCTTGACCCGCCTCGGCCTGGGCTTCCGCCTGAAAGGAGAGTAGGATGGTCACTGGACTGGCGCCAGTGTGCAGCAAGCCTTAAGGAAGGACATTGGACGATGGATGCCGGCCGCCCGGAAGCCGGGTGGCCGTGTACCGGAAGATGCTCCTCCACGGGGTGACGACAGAAGAAAGAGTGGACCGTTCGTGCACCTGAAAAATGCCTAGAGGTGGCGTTCCTTTTGGACTTCGATGATAGTCTTTTTGACGCCATCGCCCTTGGGGAGGGAGATGAGGGGCTTCTCACCACCGATGACGAAGGCGTTGTGGATCTTGGTGGCGAAGGTATCGCCGCGAGCATCCTTGAGGGTGACGGTATCGACGGCGCCGATGGTCTTCTTGACCTCGACGACGCTGCCGACACGACCAGCAGAGTGGCCAGTGGTGACCATGGCGAGAGCGCCGCACGTGAAGGGTACGTGCTCCAGTACCTTGCCGGTGGCCAAGTCGATTTTGACGGTATCGTTCACCTTGATGTTGGGATGGACGTAGCGGATAGTGCGACCGTCATGGGTGTAGGCATAAGGGATGTTCTTCCGGCCCCAGCGGAGCTTGCGCACGCGGCATAGCTTCCAGCCCATCTCGTCGGCTCCAACCTTCACGGGCGTGAAACGGCCCTTGGTGTCGATGAGGAGACGGAAGTTCTCGTTAGTCTTCTCAATCGCAATCGTGTCCATGAAACCCAACGGGTACGTCTTGTCTGTACGCACCTTGCCGTCAATCTTCACCAAACGCTGCATCAGAATCATCTTCACTTCGTCGTAAGTCAACGCGTACTTCAGACGGTTACGGATGAGGATGGCCAACGGCAAACACTCCCGCATGCCATACGGACCAGAACTCGGACGAGGCGCATAGATGCCACTCAACTTATCCAGGCACCAGTGCTTGGGGGCGGCAATACGCTTCAAATGCTTCTTGGGTCCACCAGCCATACTCGCTCGTCACTCCACAAAAAAATTCGCATTTTCCGGCCCGTTACGTCTAAAAAAACTCACCACAAGCAGCCAGCCGCGAAGTAGCCACACCCACAGGCGCCCCCGTAACCCTGTCCAACACGACTGTCGCTCCCGTACCTCTGCAAACACACATTTTCAATTCTAGCCCTGGCCGCGACTTACATGCCCGCCACGACAATTTTAACCTCACACGTTATGAGCTGTGGGGGAGGCACGGGCGCGAGAGCCCTACACGACCGGGCGCCTAGCTGATGTGAATGCTGTTGGGTGGGAAGAGGCTTACATATGAGGCGGTGACTGCATCATGGAGGTGACCGCCATGTGAGCTTTGTCCGCAGGTGTCATACAGGTCTGTTGCGCCACATACGGCAGTTGCGGGGTACTGAAAGCATGTCTTAGGGCGAACTGGTCAACTCCCGTCGACCCGTAAGGGGCCACGGCAGGTACCGGGGTCATTGACGAATTAACCGGCATTGGCGACGCAGTGAGACTGGTAGAGAGGCCAACAGCATTCCAGGTGGGCGCAGAGGATGGCTGCGCCTGCTGCAGCTGCGCATACAGCGCCTGCTGTACGGGAACCCTCTTCTTATCTCGAGTAGTCTTAATCGACAAAAGCAGCTGCTCCTCCTTCTCCTCCAGACGCTTCAGATTCGCCTCTGCTGCCTTATTCTCCATCTCAAGCTTGGTGCGCTGCTGCTCAACCTTGTCCAACTGCTCCGTGGCTAACTTCTTCTGACTGAGCAACTTTTCCTTCTCCTTGTCCAAAACAATCTCCTGGTTATCTAATTCTCGTTTCTTGATGTTATATTTCAACCGGAAGTCGATCATTCGGCGCTGATCCTCTTCTAGCAGCTTCTCAAACTCTTTCAAGCGCTCCTCGCGCTCCTTCACCATGCGAAGCTCCTCTTCTAGCCGGTTGTTATATGATTTGAGTCTCTCCTGCTTATCGTGCGCCTCCGCCAACATTTCCTCCAGCTCCGCTGCATCAAAGCTGCTGGATTCTACCATTTCCTCCTCATCGTCTTCACCATCAGCGTCTCGCGGCGAAGGATCGGCGGAACTTAGAATCTCGTACTCATTACTGAAGGAAAAGGACCTCGCTACGTACATAGCACACGTGTGTGCGGGGTCAATTTGAATTAATCCCAAGCGTTGCTTCAGCACCGAAACAACACTTCTGAACCAGACAGGGACTCACCAGACAATTGTTGCCCACTTAACGAGTCAGAATGCCAAAGTCCGGGCCCATTGATTCGTAAACACGAAGTGTCAGGGAGTGTGCGCTAGCTCGCAACGACGTGAACCAGCACCGATGGGTAACAGTCTTACGGCGGAGGCATCAGTTGCGGCTTCTTTCCTGCCGCAATATAATGAATAGACGGTCCCCCTGAGTTTCCATATCTTCCCGCGCGATCAGACTCCTTTCTTGCCACCCTATATAACATCTTATTGCTCCCCAATCTGGAGCTAGCGAGGGCAGCAAGACCGCTAGTCTGCAAACTGGTGGTAGCGTTCGCCTTGAGCGGATTAGCCTTGAGTGGATTAGCCTTGAGTGAACCGAATGTTCTAGGAGCAAGTGATCCGGAGCCAAGTGTCCCTGAGACTCCGGAGGCAAGTGTCCCTGAGACTCCGGAGGCAAGTGCCCCTGAGACTCCGGAGGCAAGTGCCCCTGAGACTCCGGAGGCAAGTGCCCCGGAGGCAAGGGGCACTGAGGCAAGGGGCACTGAAGCAAGCGGTGCCGAGGCTAGGGTCACCGGTTGGCTAAGACGAGCATGCAAGGAAGACCGCGGCCCTATGGATAATGCAGCAGCCTGACCCGAATTGTTATGTACAGGGGGACCCGAACTGTTATGTACAGGGGGATGGTTGTATTGTATTGTAGGTAGACCGCGAGTGGCGGTTGCCGCAACGCGGCCGAGGGGACTATCCTTTAAAGGGCTGGCGGCAGGATAAACACTGCCGACTCTTGTCTCTGGAGCCAATTTGATATTTGATGTGAATCCTCCTCCATTCGGCGAAAGCAGGTTTGATCCACCCGCCAATCCTCCATGGGGGCTTCCACGAGGTTCCAGTGGCCTCCCGAATGAAAACCTTTGCGGCCCTGATCCCAAGAATCTTGGCATAATGTCTGGGAGAAATTTAGTAATTGTCAGAGGGAATGAGTCCGCAGACTTAGACTCTGCCGTAGCATCCTACACGATTGCTTGGATTCTTCGAAACCATGGCAAAAGTGGTTCATTGGCCTGCGATGAACCTTGTACGTAATCCCCGCGCCCGACAAAGCCCATTGCCCCGCGCCCGACAAAGCCCCTCCCTCTTCACCCTTTGCCACCTTTATCTTTGAATTGATAGATGCCCATAGCTTCAAGAAAATGATCGAATTGCTGCCATCTGGACCATGGGATCCAAAGCCGTATCTTCCCGTTGGGCTAGATAAGCTAAAAGAGAGCACCACGGGGCTGTCACTTACTGCAATGGGCCTGGATCTGAATGAATTTGAAACTAGCGATCAAGCGAATAAGAAGGAATGGGCTTGCCTGATATTGGTGGACCATAACTATTATCATGAACATGAAGGGCCCGACAGAGATGATGTCCCTCCTATTATTGGAATAATTGATCACCATGAAGATTCTGAACAGATCATGGGCAATTGCCCTAAGATAATTGAGGTTCCCCGTGCGAGTACATGTTCTTTGGTAGGTGAGTTATATTTGCAGACCACAACGGGCACAAACATCAACCAAAATATTTCTTGTCTGCTTGCGTCCATAATTGAACATGATGCTTACCATTTCGATGAGGGGGTCAAAGGAATCCGTTGGGTAGATATGGACAAGAAGATATATCATGATTTGATGGAGCAAGCGGCAATTTCCAGCGGCAGGCCATCTGAAGAAATAGTGTGTGCACACAGAAATGCAATTAAATCTCAGTTCAAGGAATACTCGGAATCTCTTGTCAACCTTAATATATCCGATGCGCTCTTGAATGATAACAAGATCTTCCATTATAATACCTATGATTTGATATTTGCGAGCATGCCTGTTCATCTCGGCGCGCTAATAGACGATAAAGATGACAATTGTGTTTCCGATGAATTCGCGAAATACGTGACTGCATGCGCAGGCAAGAATAAGACAACGACTGACTTGTTTATATGCCTGTCAAGGGGCTCCGAATGCAGGGAGCTAGCTATCGCGTATATGGATTCTGCCGAAAAGCTCGCCGCAAAAATTCGCGACCATTTGTTGGGCTGGGGTGATAATGTTTGTTTAAAACAAGAAGCCCGACCTCGCAAGTTTGGCCCATGGGCAATAATCACGTTGCAGCTGGATAGGAACAAAAGCCGTAAAATCGTTGAGCCCCATTTACGTGCATTGTTCAAGGACTGATGGGATACAGTCGCGGAATGTAGGGCATGCCGTGCGGGCCGGGAGAGTGTACTCGACAAGGATAGGTGGACTGCTGGAGGACATATTGAGAAGATGGTGGATGCGGATGTAGTGGGGATGGATTAGTGTCAAAACGTATTGCCAACAGAGCTCCCTTACTGGCAACAGAATTCCCCTGTCAGCTTTCCCCTTTCCATTATCGAGCGCCGTCAGCGGGTCAGGTCTGCACCCCAGATGAAGACTTCCTTTGCCAGCATCTCAGTCCAGTGTCTTGTACCCAGCCAGTGTCTTGTACCCAGCCAGTGTCTTGTACCCAGCCAGTGTCTTGTACCCAGCCAGTGTCTTGTACCCAGCCAGTGTCTTGTATTCAGCCAATATCTTGTGTCGTCCCCACGCCACCAAGTAAGCCCCCACACGCCACGAGGTGTGTGCAGATGTCACACGATGCGCGCGGATGCGACGGCGTGTGTGTGTGCGACGGAAGGGCCCTAACGTGTGTGCTGGACTAGAGCACGTAGTTTGTTTGTTTAATCCGCGATGGCGATTGTATTGGCGTGGGTTCTGGTGCACTCCCGGTCGGGGGTTTGGGTGATGGTCTAGTTTTTTCTCCGCGTGTGTTGTCGAGGAGTCGGTTCAGGACGGGAATGAGTGATGAGAAGAATGGCACGCGTCTCGCAGGGGCGATGGGTACGGCGGGTGATTCGGTGGGCTTGGCGTTTGCGGAAGGTGCTGACCTGAATGTGAAGGGCGCAGAAGCGAACGGTTGGGCAAATGGGGGAGACGACAGCTGCCCGTACGACCCGGGAAGCCCCGACCCGGGAAGCCCCGACCCGAGAACCCCTGACCGAGGCAGAGGAGGCAGAGTGTGAAGTGCCACGGGTGATGCACTCAATGGCTGTGAGTTAGCCCTCGTATTTTGCTCCGTGTCCGAACCCAGGTAAACCAACCCTTGCTTCAAAATGCCTTTCATGGCACGTGGTTGTGTCGGTCGTGTCACGTCGAAAACAGCCATTCCCAATACTCCCGCCGTCGGTCGATCCTCCATAGACCCGTCCACTTTCCGAAATAAACACGGCGGGTCATCCACATCAAACAATAGTCGCGCCGTCTGCGCTGAACGCAGGTCGAATTGTACCCGAGACGCCGACATGCATTTCTCGTGGGGGGACATTTCCCACTTACACTCACCCACCAGCACGCACT